GACGAAGAACCGAACTGCAAGTCACTTTGATGAACACAACCTTTTCGATATTTCACAAGCAGGAAAATAATGTCATATACAGAAAGCCTGGCAGTATATTGGAAACTGACTATTTGACGGCAGCTGTCGGGACATGCCTCGCTCTTTCAAATTCCAGGCTGAGTGTTTACATTTCATTCATATAGACATCGTGTGTTGTGTTCGTTTAGTATTTCCATGCTGGAGACAGTAAGGTGTTATTATATATATATATATATATATATATATATATATATATATATATATATATATATATATATGTATATATATGTATGTGTGTGTGTGTATTTATGTATATGTATGTATATATGTAAGTGTGTGGAGAGAGATGAGAGAGAGAGAGAGAGAGAGAGAGAGAGAGAGAGAGAGAGAGAGAGAGAGAGAGAGAGAGAGAGAGAGAGAGAGAGAGAGAAGAGAGAAAGAGAAAGAAAGAAAAAGGAAAGAGAAAGAGAAAGAGAGACAATCTGTTCCTCATTATCCTAAATCCATAAGGACTTACCGTTAACATCCGTTTTGTATCGTACTAGAGCACATATTAACGTACACAAGTATTACATTTACTCCAAGTACATTCTTTATCCGAATCACTCGCGGGAATGTACACGCGAATGATCCATTCCCCGAATTCTGTACACATGCATATTCATTAATGTACATATCCCCTAGATGGCGCCAGATCTACCCGTCATTATTTATGCAACGTAGCATTGAGTACTGAACCAAATGGATGTATGTTCTCTATGCATTTGCAAAGTCCCTTCAATGGATAATGCAGTTGTCGTTATTTTATGGGGTTCGTGTGTGAAGGGAGAGTGGGTGGGGTTAGTTTTTTTATTTTTTTTTGCTAGACTGAATCGCTGGATACATGTAGATAGATGGATAGGTTGGTAGATAGATAGGTAGGCAGGTTGGTAGATAGGTAGGCAGGTTGGTAGGTAGGTAGGAAGATATACACATAGATAGATAGGTAACCAGATTTTTAGATAGATTGATTTGTTAAGTAGGTAGGTAGGGAAATATACACATAGATACATAGGTAGTTTGTAAGTAGGTAGGTAGGGAAATATACACATAGATACATAAGTAGTTTGTAAGTAGGTAGGTAGGAAGATAGAAGCATAGATAGATACATAGGTAACCAGATTTTTAGATAGATTGATATGTAGGTAGGTAGGTAGGTAGATAGATAGATTGGAAGGTTGTCAGATAGACAAATAGATAGGTAGGCAGATAGATAGATAGATGGGTATACAAACATACAAATGGATAGACAAACATACAGATGGATAAACAGAAAGACAAAAGAAGAAACAGTTGTCCGATAGATAGACAGACAGAGCGATGCATCTGCACTGAACACAGATATAATAAATAGAGCAGGATGACATAGTGAAATAAGATACAGCGATACCAAAGCGCATAGACATGTAGACAGGTACATGATACGTGTACCTGGTCTATGTCTCCTTATGTATACAGACTCCATAAATCAGACGAGTATATCAAACGCTTTGCCAATTTAATTTTGTAAAACAGATTTCTATTCTTTCCTATGGGAGACAAATTTCTGTACATATTCCTATATTAATGGTTGAGTGTAATATACTGGGAAAAGCGCGCAAGAAATGGGTTTTCAGAATTATATGAATTCATTTGTGGAGTTTATAAATAGAATACACTCGACAGAAAATAGAAGGATAATTAAAAATGAAATGAACTTTTCTATATATTATCTTATATTTTCTTCAGACAATATTTCTTCGTTCAGCAGGTATTTGACAGAAAATAGAAGGATAATTAAAAATGAAATGAACTTTTCTATATATTTCTTCAGAAAGTATTTCGAGATTAAGTTATCATAATGTGGAAATATAAATTACAGTGAGAAAATGATGTTAATAGTGATGATTATGACGATGATGATAATGATAATAATCATAATAGTGATGATAAAGATAATTTGATAATGATAGCAATGATAATGATGATAGTTAATAACGATTCCTAGATCAATATAACAACCACCACTACCATTAACAACAACAACAACAACGATAATGATGACAACAAGATAATGACAATAGTAACGGTAACAATATAAAATGTAATAATTATGATAATGATAATAACAGTAACCAGATAAATTATAGGAATAATATTAGCAATAATAGTAACAACAATATAATAATATCTGGACGGATAATCAAAATAATAACATTTGATAATACTAATAACAGCAATTAAAATATCAATAACAGTGATAATCAAATCACGTTAAAAAATTTTGCATCAAAGTCAGGATAATTAAGTGAAAATCAAAATTTATTGAATCATGAAAAATTGTAACGTTGTTCATATCCAGAATTCATTAAAATGTACGATGCTGCTATATTTTTATTTTAGAATGTAATATTGCCTGTTGTATTAATATTTATTAAAGAAGTATTTGGATCGAAAAATCCTGTGTTTATGTGGTGCTGATTGTGTGTAGATATAGATATCTATCTGGATTTATCACACAACCAAACATATCTACTTATCATTGTCGTGTGTGTGGCGTTTGTGCGTGTGTGTGTTGTGTGTGTGTGTGTGTT